AAACAGAAAATTATATGCAATTCTATGATCAAAATTTAACATTTCAAATGATTTTTCTGATTTACTTCTCAAGGAGAAAATAATAAGAACAACCTTTGTTGAATATCTGTTAAATATCAAACTCTGAATTATGGCCTTTACATATATTATTTCTTTTAACAACCCTGTGAAGTAAATATTATTGGCACCATTTTGACTTGCCCATCAGAGCTTCCTCATCTCAGCTTCTAGGTCCTTTTTTGTTTGTGTTTCCAGATGTTAGATAATTGTTATTTGGAGAGCATCAGGTTTAGGCTAGGTGAACTTTCAAACTTTCTCAGGAATGAAATACTCTCTATAACGGGCAAAATATTTGTTAATGAAACAAGGATTCTTTTTTGTGGGGAGGGGGAGCAACAAAGATTTAGTTTTTCAAATGGAACAGCTAAAGTTTTAAGAGTACATATATTTAGAGTATATAGAGCATAAATAATATTGTATTAGAGCTGGAATGACCTGAGAGGACATTCGTCTAAGCCCTCTTATTTTATAATGGAAGAAATGGGATTCATTAGCTCAGAATAATCTGTCAAGACCACATGGTGAGTTAGTAGCCTAACATAACTAAAAACACCAAAGCTGCCTCCATTAGAGCTGCACTGTGCCTGGCATTTAGTGGATGCTCAGTAAATTAGATTAGTCTGTTGTGCATCATTCTAGAACAAGTACAGTTCCACCAATATTTAGTAAGGGTGCAAACCTCCCATGGAAACCTGCTGTGTTCACTTTGTTTCTTTGCAAGACACTAGTATCAAAGGTTCAGCTGTAGCACCCAGCTTTTGCTACGCCGAAGAGAAGGGAGCTGGGAACATTGCCGCTTCCTTAGAACATGTACCAGTTATCTATTGTTGCATTAAAAAATCACCTCAAAACTTAGCGACTTAAAAACAATAATAATCATTTATTTTGCTTACAAATCTACAATTTGGGCAGCAATAGCTAATCTCTGCTCCACACAGTGTCATCAGAGCAGCTCAGTTAAGGGCTGGAAGACCCACTTTCAGGATGACTCACTTATATGGCTGGCAAGTTGGAGCCAGCTGTCATCCAGAAGTTCAGCCAGAGCCGTGTGGTAAGTAAGTTGCTCCTTGAGGGTTGCTGCACTCGCTGCTTAGGCTTCTTCCTGGCATGATAGCTGCGTCCCATGAGCAAGTATTCTAAGAGATAGGAAGTAGAAGCTGCCAGCTTCTTAAAGCTTGGGACAGAGATCAGCACAGTGTGAATTTCACTGTATTTTCTATCGGTCAAGCCCTGATTCAAAGGTCGGACAGAGATCCCACATCTTAATGAAGGAGTATTACAGAATTGGTGTTTAAAGCCACTAGAGAGGGTATCTTTTTTTTTTCACTGCAAATATGATTCCATTTTGCTAAAGTTCTAAAGAATTGAGCATTAATAGAGACAAGTCATAGATTTCAAATTATAATCTATTCAGGGTATTAATCCCTTCACCATTTGCTTATTAGCTTAGACAGACAACAGGCCTACAATTAATGCTCAGTCTTTGCCTCCATTCACTCTTCCACATGAAGGGGATATAATAATCTCTCTTGTGAGGAAAGAGAAGGGTTATTTATAATTATAAAATCAGAATGTACTTATAATTGCCTTAATAAATGCTTATTAATAGTGAATTATCTATAAAGTGTCCTATACAAGTGAAAGGTATAATTATTATCTACTTAAATAATTTTGCAAAATGGAGCCTTCGCAGGTTACTTGGACAACTAACCATGCCTGAATTACAGAAGCCTCCAATTAATTAATTTTGCTGAACATGTAGTTAAATATCAATCCTAATTTTAAAAGGATGATTATTGCACAGTCCTCTTAAGTATTTGATTAGATTGACAAGAAGAACTATTTACGACTTTCTAACTTTTCCAAAAGAAGAAATACCTCAAGGATACCACAGATTTTCAGATCCTTATTGCAAATAAATCATGTTTTGCAATATATTTTTAGGTCAATATACCACATAGTCAGTCATATTTCCAAGCAACAGTCCTATTCAGGAATTGAATTTTATCCAAGGTCAGAACCTCTCTAATAATATTTAGAAATAGCAGAATTGAGTTGCCTTTCTTGATATAGCAAACAGGACATTTTCAAGATTAACTAAGGTGATATGAGTGAGGATCTTAAAACTAGTTCTGCTTGTGAGGAGGAGCCAGTCAGCATCTTATGTAGTTTACAAGCACAGTAACCAATTGGGATTTTCCCACAGGGGTCCTAGGATTTAGGTAAAATGGCTTTCTGTTGAGCAATTTAGACCACAGAAAGTAATAACTTCCTTGACTCAGCCACTTATGGAAAGATTGGTTAAATAAGATGAGATTTGTTGTAACTAAAAATGGGACCTGCAGCTGGGAGGTTAGTTTCTCAGGGACAAGAGGAGAGAGAGCTTTATTACCCAGTTAAGTATTTTCATTGTAAGAAAACAAACTGAGTATAAAACACGAGTCATACCCAGCCAGCCAGTGGGCCTTATGTGTACATGTGTATTTTATGCTTCCACCGTGATTTAAAAAGCAATGTTAGTTTCAGTGTCATCCACTCAACTCCTTTCTGTTTGTTACACACACCTCCTACAGAATTTTGCGTTTCTCATCTAGAGAATTACCTGAATTGATATAAATTTATTATTAAGGATTTCTCAAATAGTACATTTGGTATAAACCTTTTTTTTTTTTTTTTTTTTGAAACAGAGTCTCATTCTGTTGCCTGGGCTAGAGTGCTGTGGCATCAGCCTAGCTCACAGCAACCTCAAACTTCTAGGCTCAGGCGATCCTTATGCCTCAGCCTCCTGAGTAGCTGGGACTACAGGCATGAGTCACCATGCCCGACTAATTTTTTGTTTCTATTTTTAGTTGTCTGGCTAATTTCTTTGTATTTATAGTAGAGATGGGGTCTTGCTCTTGCTCAGGCTGGATTGGAACTCCTGACCTCGAGCAATCCACCCGCCTCGGCCTCCCAGAGTGCTAGGATTACAGGTGTGAGCCACCGCACCCAGCCCTAAATTGGTGGTTATAGTTGTTAGCTGTAGCCACACCAGCCTCAGCATGCACTTCGTCTTCGTCTTTTGTTTCAGTTGCGCAATATTAAGACAATCCTAAATCACACAGGAAATTAATCTCAAATAGAAGCAGTTGTATACTAGCTAATGCTGTACCTTCAGAATTCTCTTCACTAAAACAGAGATGAAAAATGAAACACAGTGAAATGTTTTATAACAGTTATTTTTTAACAGTGGTTTAAAACATTTTTTAAATATTTAAACCAAATTCAAATCAAACACTTGTAGACCCCTCTTCTAGCCTTCCATCTACAGAACCCAATTTGAAACACTGATCTAAGAAATATAATCACCTCTTCCTTAGCTTGTATTATCATGTACTAAGCTACTTCATCAAAAAGCCATATACTTGGAATATATCATTCTGTAGAGCAACATTTATATAAGGTTTAGCTTTCTACTTTCCAGATTAATCAAAAGATAATATGAGAAATTCTATAAGTAAAATATATTTTATAAAATTCATGTTAAAGATAATTTTACTGTAGATATTGATGATATAGACATTTCAACAACTAAAAAAAATCCTCATAATAAATTCTTCTCCTAGATCAGAACTACAAAAAAAGTCTCTCTGTCCTTATACACTGGTATATTTATTTCAACTCCTATGAAAAATATTTTAATACATAGTTCCTTTAGCTTTTTTCAGTTTTGAATAGAAAAGATATTTCCCTTTAGCTTTCTTTTACTATGTTACTTTGTCTTTCTATTATTTCTTAATTATCTTATTCTTACTGCATCTGGATATATGCATGTATGACATGCTCCAATAGCCTGGATGTCAAACAAGGTCTGGATTTGTTAGAAAAGAAGTTAAACTGAGGCTACACAGAAACCCCAAAACGAGTTGTACAAACAAGACAGAATATCTCTTAAGTAATCGCCAGAGCCTTAACCCAGAGTTCCTACATCATTTTCCCTCACATCCCATTGGCCAGAACTTAATGACATGGCCATCCCAAGCTGTAAGACTGGAAAATGCAGTTTCTAGTTGACTGGTCTGATTGCAGTTAAAACTCAAGAAGTTCTATTTCTAAATGAACAACAACAACAAAAAAAAAAAAAAGTAAAAAGAGAGGTTGATAACCAAGAGTGTAGCTCTTTGAAGAAAATCCTTAATAATAGACATTTATATCAAGTTCAGGTATATCTCTAGTATGATGAAAGTCGCAAATCTGTAGGGTGGTGTGTGTAAGCAAACAGAAAGAAGTGAGTGGATGACACTGAACCTAACCAATTGCTTTTTAAATCACGGTGGACAGCATAAAATACATATGTATCACATAAGGCCCCACCCCTGGCCTGGGCTGGTATGGACTCGTGTTTTAATACT